TTTTACGAATCTACAAAAACTGGACGTTATTTATTAATTTATTGACAAATATCCTTCCATTGCTTGTTTTGAAATTCAAATTTAATTTTTTAGATATATTCACATGTTCGTGTCTTTTGAACAATTGAACATCCATAACGGGATCATAATCAAAGGGGCGTGACCACGTTCATAGAGGTAGTCACACCTAAGTCATCGACTGGCACAGGTATCGTTTTATCTGGTTATCGGGACGGAAAACACTGCATTTACAAGTATAGTTTGTCATACCGAAACATTCAATACATAACAATATCAGGCTACCTGAACGAACGTCATGCCTTCTGATATCCCTTACTCCTACGACGCGGGTAAGCCAAATTACAACAATGATAAAGAATTGGCTTTAGCCCATATCGGTTTATTGCATCCTTTGGCCAATATTGTAAGATCCATGTCTCGTGAATGTTTCAAACGATATCGTTAAAACATAACGAAGAGTTCTTCAAGACCATTACGTGTCATTAGTCGGGACGTACATGCATGTTGGTGAGCGTGCACCCAAATTGTGCACGTCAGGTATAAAAACTATATGAATGGTTTTGGCCAATATTCCGACTGCCTACAAATAAAAACATACATGTACAATAGTAACGAAACACAAAAACAAAGATATTGGTCTGTTTGGTGATTGTTTGAACAAATGCTACGTATCTTGTGTGTCTGTACGAATTCTGAGGTAACAATTGGGCAGGCGACGTTTGTTTGTTTGTTTCTTTCTTTTGTATTTCACGTCCTCTCAATAGCAAAAACAGACGGCGTTCAAGCATTGTTGGGCGACTGACGGACGCTTTCACGCTAAATATGAATGTAATTGTACTATTAGGCCAATTGCAATCAATTAATTAGAAAAGAACATTTAGATATATTATGAATATTTTGACTTTAAAGTTTGCTATATGTATTTATCTATCAAAAGAAATACGTATTGTTTTATATTTATCTAAATGTATTTCGCCAAAAATATCCATGATGTTTAGTGGGACGTTACTGACACCGCCATCAAACAACAAATATCACAATAACACAAAGCCAAAGCCACACATAGGCGTATGTTGGTAAAGGACTGGCGTTGTATACAAGGGAGAGTATGTAGAAAAAGGTAAAGTCAGAGAAAGGAAAAAAATCCTTGTTATACCTTAAGAAAGCAAAGAGGTCACTGTAGAAAGTAGAATGTTCTGAATAAGTCTTCTACTTGGCATATAATACAATGTTTAGTAGGTAAATGTATATGTTCCTGTGGGAGGGTTGCACAACACCAACAACTAAACAATGAAACGTAATTTGGTGATATGTTCCGCAATAGACACCATTTTCAGTACAGCACGTTCATGATCATTTAAAATTTTGTTTAACTTTCATGTGTGACAATGAAAATATTCCATTCAAAAACATCATTACGGTCAATAGTATAGACATTTATGTCAACACTTATCTGTATCTATGATCTATCAACAGAATAAGGATTTACTGTAATTACAACGGAAACAACATACATTGTAGTAAGTGGCGTCTGTCGCGTAATTGAATATACATTTCATTGAACACGATATAAGGATTACAGCAAGCACCAAACAACAACGAACAAACGCAAAAACAGTAATTGTATTATGCATACCAAATATCTAACCTGGCCAGGGAATGGTTTGTTCCAGAATGAAAGTTTCAGAAATAAGTATGAAATTTATAAAACAAGGTAATTATCCTCCAGATGATGTGTCAGGTGCCGTTTTCATGTCAGTTAGGATCAGCTCCGTATCCGAGAATTAATTTGAAATCTGCCATAACTACCTGTCTGGTATTTAAAGGTTCAATATGAATATTGTATGCCGTTACTGTATGCCACCCTTCTCGCGGTCCATGGTCCAGGTCAATTTTTAAATCTGACTTAATACGCCAAACTACATTGAGACCATCACCTTGCTGATCCATAATTAAGATTTTTAGCATGTATTGTTCGTGCAATTCGAAATGAATCCATTTATTGATTTTTCCCCTGCACCCATCATTTGTATATGCGAAATTGTGAAATACTATATTGTTACCGTAAAGTAGTGGCTGGTGACATTAAAGGGGAAACAAATTGATCCTGATGAATAAGAGTTATATGTCAGACCTGACCGAGTTTGACGTCCTGAACTTGTGGACACCTTAACAATCGATCTTCCGTTTGACTGTCCGCTGTCTACTATAGATTACAGCCTGTATATCTCTTTATGTCTGTCCGGTATTCATTAGTGATCCTTAATGAAGTCATGACTGATAAAGAAGTATGTGCTTAGTCTTGACCACGAGCAAATTACAGGCTAGGAATTATATATATATATATATATATATAGTTTTTGTAAAGGGAGTAACATAGCTGCATATGAATTCTATATATGTTTTACTTTCGAATGTTTGTTAATTTATTTTAATACAGACTGGATGATAGGGTAAACATGATATCAATAAGTATTGATAGACTCTAGAAAGGTCATTCTGACGGCAGCAGTTTGTAGTCCATGGCAACGAAAAGGTCGTTGGAAAGTATGTGTTGTCGATGACGCTTAATACACCTAGGGCTGTAACAATGATTGAAAATAAAGAATATGAATCTGAGTCTGAACAATGTGATTGAACTTGTTGATATACTCTGACTATACACTGAGTTAATTCAAAACTAATAACCACAAAATGTTCATCAATCACGAGACTTCAATAAGAGCTTCTACGGGCAAAGCTTGTTATTTTTTTTTATCATATACAGTGTATTGTAGAACATCTCTTTTGTTAGATGACTTTCATAGAAGCATATGACCCCTCTCCAAAATCCAAACGGCGTATCTAACACATAAATACAAATTTAAGGCATCGAAGCGCAGTTTCACTGTTTTGGCGCTTGCAGTTCTCACTGCATGATTGAACGAGGTGACTAAATTTGCTGTATTTATCTCGTCTCTTCATTTCATAGATTACAAAACCTGTCGTTTAGCCCTCCTGTTGAATGACTCCCCTCTTCCTGCGGGGAAGACATGCGGTTTCCGTCCTCAGGCCCGGCATATTTCAAAATTAGCGAGGTGTTCGTTTGAATGAGATGCAAAATAATAAAAACATAACTGGACCATTCTGGTGTCAGTGTATCAATAGACCGGCAGATCTTAAAGCAACATGTTTGCAAAGTGACAATTCATTGAAATTGCACGTCACAATGGTCTTTAAATTTGGCTTATCAAAGCAGTCATATCCTTCAACTTGGACACAATCGCATGACAATTCATTCGTGTTCTCAATATCAACAAGCTACCCACTAGTTAAACGTTAAAAGCTGAACTGGAAGCAGTAAAGGATCTCTATTCTGTCATTGGTAATGGGACAGGAATAATAAGTCTCTTTGGGCGACCTCCATCCAAAGTCCAGAAAGAGGTAGTGTATTGTAAAGGTCTGAGAGCAAACGAAAGACAGTAAAGAAAATGCAATAAAAGTAAACAGAATCACTTATATGCTGCAACAGGTGTCGTTATATCTCATTGATTGCTGTGATGAACTCGTTAAGTATAACCCACATTTACCTACGATTAAGGAGGATGCACTCGTAATAAGCCATTGTTAAGGACAAATGTAAATTTTACTCTAGATCTAGGCCTTCTCTTAGCTTACTTAAGCAACGGGAGATAGATTAGATATTACTAATTATATTAAACAAAAAACTGTATCTTTTAGTGATCACACGGTGCAATTATGATGACGCAATACTGTTTCATAAAATAGATATAAGTGGTAAATAATTAGTAGATGATATCATAAGATGATTTAGTTTAAAAGTGAAACCCCTTAATTCAACATGTAATACCAGTTTATGATTAGATTTAGTTTAATATCTCTGCGTTATCAAAATATCAAAATATTCACATCACCAAAGTTAGAAGCGTTAACATCACGGTATCTCTGTTCGACCTTGGTCAGGTGTGACCTTGCACTCTATTGAGGTAATAACTCGACCTAATGACCATGCCGGCTCGCGCTAATAAGACCCAGATATCGCCAGCCTCCTCAGCAGCTCACGCGCAAGTGTATCCCCGTTTACGGTATTAAAGCCATTACAAAGACCTTGGCTCCAGATTAAGGCTGTTTCTCTTTGGAAATTCATTACAAGTATCAATATTTGCTAAGCTACCGTCGAAAATGTCATAAAGTCAAAACATGTCCAATATTTAACATCAAAATGGCTCAAGTGGTCAGTTCAACAAAAACGTACATTCCTAGACAGCAGTGGAAATACACAAGCTTTCTTCATGTTAAAACTTCTGCCGCTAACGTCTGATACGTTCACTTTCTGTCTTATCAAACTGATTTATGTATAAAAACGAGGTATATAAATCTACTCTGTTTCAGTGAAATTATTGCGAAATTAGTTTTACACCTCTGAACGGTAAATAGGTCTGGCATCTCAAGTGTGAGCATAAATAGTTGGCAGCTGTCGTTCAAAGAATGGCTCACCTGAAATTCGGTTATAGAGGTAAACAAGTTACAGTTCACATTAACTCAAAGCTAAGAGTTTGCATGTTGTTGCAGTAAACTGAATTTAAAATGAGTCGACATTACCCAGCTTACTATATATGACAGTGACATATCCTTCCATTGACCGATCTTTTCGTATCGTGAGAGAGCTTGTTTTCAATATCGCAAGATACCCACAGTATACCAACTGTCATTGTCTAAACACAATAATATGAAAGAAATACACCAATTGTGCATCAATTAGAAATATACATTTCATAGTGTGCCATACTATTCCGAGATTTACATGGAGTCGCATTTGGAGCTCCAGGGATGATTCAGTTCGATATCACCGCGGAATCACACCACCTGTTATGTATAGGATGACATATCTTATCAATTAAAATGTTGACAAAACCAATGAAAATGTAAATATCTAAAAGATCGATAAACATCATAATTTAGTTGTTTTTCCGACTTACCGAGACCTGGGACCAGTATATTTAAGATACAACACACCGCCGCTGCTCCTATTGGCATACACGGGATGGCATTGTATAGCGGTCCGTGTTTTTCTGTAACTTCCAGAATTTCGTCTTTAGTATCCATGATTTGTACACTTTTCTTCTTTGGATGCCCTGTAAGGGAGGCCTTGGCGTCCTCGTTTCCTGCTCCCGAGGCCATTGTTTACAAGACAGATGAAGTATAATTCCAAACGTGTTATTTATAAACACTCTTTAAAACTGCATGAGCAATTCCATATGAATTCTGTGACGTAAATGAAATATCAACTTTGAAAACTTTTCACATTAAGATATAAATCTCCATAAAGTTTTTTTTTTAAAACTCAATTCCACAAAAGACAATGTATGATGTAATACAGATACCTTAAAAACGATATTGATGAAGTTATTTTTTCTCACGTTTAAATTACTTGCATCTTGAAAAACAGCTGTGTAGCCGTATTTACCACTAGAGAGTATGCAGAGGTTTCTATACAGATCCTGGTGTAGCTCCAAGATGATATCCTCCCACACTGGTAACCATGTAGGCCTACGACAGCACAGTATAAAACTGGCGAGCGAAATCACACAACATAGTTGATAAGGATAATTCTCACAGATACATATAGGTATTACCGCTCTGCTGTCCGCTTCACGCGTGCTCTTGGATAATCAGCTTCGTCAGTCAGCTTCAGTTTTGACGTTTCTTTTCAAGTCACGTGGTATCGTATGTGTTTATTGCACGCGCGCTCACCTCACGTGCAGTATAAACATACACTTGAGTCCTTGTGTGTATTTGTTGATGAACTGGACATGCTAGATTTGGGCGTGTGATAGTGACAGGGTGTGTGAAATCATGGAATATCTAACATCAATATACGGTCATTTTACAGCGCATTATCGCTGACGGTAATTAGGTTGTAGGCGCGTGCAGGCTGATTGACATTATATTGATAATGACGAAATCAATTTCATTAATCATATCGTTTCAAGGGGTGTCCTCACAAAGTGTATGTGAAAATATAAATGGGAAATGGAGAAAACAAATCATTTCTAATTATTGAGTTTGTAAAAGATTGTGTGCAATTTACTGGATAGTATCACGTCCTGTAGATACTGCAGTAAAGACTGTCTTCGTGGCATTCTTATCTTAACACAATCTCATGTTATGAAGAGGGCGTCTGTCTGTCTGCCCTCTGTTCCGACGGCTCTGTTTTTGCTTTTGTTTGGTTTTGCTTGTTTGTTAAAGGTGTTCGTTTGTTTGTTTTTCTCCATCACTTGTAGTCACTCTATCATCATCTCTTTTTTATAATGGTAAATCTTGAGTTGAGAAGCACTACACAAATATATGACTTATATTTCACTGTGATTTGCATCTCCATTGAATTTGAATTTGAACAATGTTTTGCCGTGTGCCAATATTGATACCACAATTGTCAACGTCATTTACAATAAAATGGCACAATATCGTAAGACTGATTGTATATCAACTCCTTTCAAGACAGGAATGCTGTTTACTATACACTCCCGTCTAGACAGGAATACTGTTTACCCGTCTAGACAGGAATAATGTTTACCCGTCTGGACAGGAATGCTGTTTACTATACACTCCCGTTTAGACAGGAATGCTGTTTACTATACACTCCAGTCTAGACAGGAATACTGTTTACTATACACTCCCGTCTAGACAGGAATACTGAATACTGTCTAGACAGGAATACTACTATACACTCCCGTCTAGACAGGAATACTGTTTACTATACACTCCCGTCTAGACAGGAATACTGTTTACTATACACTCCCGTCTAGACAGGAATACTGTTTACTATACACTCCCGTCTAGACAGGAATACTGTTTACTATACACTCCAGTCTAGACAGGAATACTGTTTACTATACACTCCCGTCTAGACAGGAATACTGTTTACTATACACTCCCGTCTAGACAGGAATACTGTTTACTATACACTCCCGTCTAGACAGGAATACTGTTTACTATACACTCCCGTCTAGACAGGAATACTGTTTACTATACACTCCCGTCTAGACAGGAATACTGTTTACTATACACTCCCGTCTAGACAGGAATACTGTTTACTATACACTCCCGTCTAGACAGGAATACTGTTTACTATACACTCCCGTCTAGACAGGAATACTGTTTACTATACACTCCCGTCTAGACAGGAATACTGTTTACTATACACTCCCGTCTAGACAGGAATACTGTTTACTATACACTCCCGTCTAGACAGGAATACTGTTTACTATACACTCCCGTCTACTCCCGTCTGGACAGGAATGCTGTTTACTATACACTCCCGTCTAGACAGGAATACTGTTTACCCGTCTGGGCAGGAATACTGTTTACTATACACTCCCGTCTGGACAGGAATACTGTTTACTATACACTCCCGTCTGGACAGGAATGCTGTTTACTATACACTCCCGTCTAGACAGGAATACTGTTTACTATACACTCCCGTCTAGACAGGAATACTGTTTACTATACACTCCCGTCTAGACAGGAATACTGTTTACTATACACTCCCGTCTGGACAGGAATACTGTTTACTATACACTCCCGTCTAGACAGGAATACTGTTCACCCGTCTGGACAGGAATACTGTTTACTATACACTCCCGTCTAGACAGGAATACTGTTTACTATACACTCCCGTCTAGACAGGAATACTGTTTACTATACACTCCCGTCTGGACAGGAATGCTGTTTACTATACACTCCCGTCTAGACAGGAATACTGTTTACTATACACTACCGTCTGGACAGGAATACTGTTTACTATACACTCCCGTCTAGACAGGAATACTGTTTACTATACACTCCCGTCTAGACAGGAATACTGTTTACTATACACTCCCGTCTAGACAGGAATACTGTTTACTATACACTCCCGTCTAGACAGGAATACTGTTTACTATACACTCCCGTCTAGACAGGAATACTGTTTACTATACACTCCCGTCTAGACAGGAATACTGTTTACTATACACTCCAGTCTAGACAGGAATACTGTTTACTATACACTCCCGTCTAGACAGGAATACTGTTTACTATACACTCCCGTCTGGACAGGACTGCTGTTTACTATACACTCCCGTCTGGACAGGAATGCTGTTTACTATACACTCCCGTCTAGACAGGAATACTGTTTACCCGTCTGGGCAGGAATACTGTTTACTATACACTCCCGTCTAGACAGGAATACTGTTTACTATACACTCCCGTCTAGACAGGAATACTGTTTACTATACACTACCGTCTGGACAGGAATACTGTTTACTATACACTCCCGTCTAGACAGGAATACTGTTTACTATACACTCCCGTCTACACAGGAATACTGTTTACTATACACTCCCGTCTAGACAGGAATACTGTTTACTATACACTCCCGTCTAGACAGGAATACTGTTTACTATACACTACCGTCTGGACAGGAATACTGTTTACTATACACTCCCGTCTAGACAGGAATACTGTTTACTATACACTACCGTCTAGACAGGAATACTGTTTACTATACACTCCAGTCTGGACTGTTAAACTACATTCTATACACTCAAGACAGGAGTAATTAATCCCTTTATACTCAGTCAAGACATAAGTACTATTTCCGATACTCTCAGTCAAGACAGGAGTACTATTTCCTGTACTCTCAGTCAAGACAGGAGTACTATTTCCTACACTCTTACTCAAGATAGGAGTACTATTTCCAAAACTCTCAGTCAAGACATAAGTACTATTTCCTGTACTCTCAGTCAAGACAGGAGTACTATTTCCTACACTCTTACTCAAGATAGGAGTACTATTTCCAAAACTCTCAGTCAAGACATAAGTACTATTTCCGATACTCTCAGTCAAGACAGGAGTACTATTTCCTGTACTCTCAGTCAAGACAGGAGTACTATTTTCTGTACTCTCAGTCAAGACAGGAGTACTATTTCCTACACTCTTACTCAAGATAGGAGTACTATTTCCAAAACTCTCAGTCAAGACATAAGTACTATTTCCTGTACTCTCAGTTAAGACAGGAGTACTATTTCCTGTACTCTAAGTCAATACAGGAGTACTATTTCCGAAACTCTCAGTCAAGACATAAGTACTATTTCCTGTACTCCCAGTCAAGACAGGGGTACTATTTCCTGTACTCTCACTCCTGACATAAGTACTATTTCCGATACTCCCAGTCAAGATAGTGGAACTATTTCTTACACTCTCAGTCAAGACAATGGTACTATTTCCTGCACTGTCCGTCAAGACATAAGTACTATTTCCTACACTCTCAGTCAAGATAGTGGAACTATTTCTTACACTCTCAGTCAAGACAGGAGTACTATTTCCGATACTCTCAGTCAAAACAGGAGTACTATTTCCGATACTCTCAGTCACGACAGGAGTACTATTTTCAATATATTGCTATCCAGATAGAAGTACTTTATACTTTCGTCTAGACAGATAACCTGCTTTCTTACTTGGACACATACACACATCGGGTTTAAAAAGAGAAATATTTATGATGACATTTATGCAAGCTTAGCACCATTCTACGTCTATTTTAGTCAGATGAGATATTCCGGAAAGTCGAGATTCTGACTTGAATGTATTTACCTTACTTTAGTAAAAGAAAGGGGAATGCAGGGAAGAAGCACGTTAATTTTTCCGTCTGTAGCGTCAAACAACGAAACACGGTGTTTCTGTGTGTAACCAGGTCACAGATTAAAGATTTGTTTATCGCAAGCGTTCGTCAAGTAAACGTTTCAACTACTCCAAAGCGAAAAAGAGTAAAGATATCACAGAAAAAAAACACTGACATATTTACCGCAACATCGGCACAGGAGCATGATCTGTGTATGTCTGGGATCACTACAAATCACGACGTATTTGAGAATTCACTGATAGGGAGATCAGACTTTCGTGCAGGAATGAAGGTCATATGGGAATGCAAAGGCATGCAAGGTCTTTTCAAGGTTGAATAATTATGCATAGACGTTGATAGGGCTATATTAATCTCCCGATAATTCATTATTCGAACTGTTTTGTGAAAACATACCTCTAGAATGCACATTAGATAGGGTTTGCACGTGTACACAACATGTCCTAGTGTTTTTGATACTTTGCCTACCGACAAAGCAGCAACATGCTACGTGTTTGAATGAAGACGCGCTGCATTTGATTTGCACAAAAGTACAACGAGATAACGAGAGATTAGGATCTTTGCATTTAAAAACACATCTGATTTAGATTTC